GCGGGGGCAGGGGCGGGAGGTGGCGCACAGGAGCTCCCCGGGGGCCACGTCATCGCTGCCCACCCAGACGCCGTGCAGGGGAACCACTCGAAGAGCTCCTCGGCCTTTACCAGCCCCGCGTGCTTGCAGCGGGGTGCCCTGATCCTCCCAGGCTTTCTTCAGCTTGACAAAAGCCGCTACCAACTTCAGAGTAGTGCCTTTCTGGGTCGGTAATAATTTCCTGTGACTGCTCTGCACTGCAGCCCAATTTATACAAGGGCTTTGGAGCACTGAAAATCTTTGGGGATACGAAATTTAAGACAGGAAGGGAATGGGAAGGAGCTTAGTTAACACGCTTTGTTTTAGTAACTGTAATCATTTTAAGCACAATTATGATCCCCATTTCCTTTGCTCCTGTTCCCTTGTTTCAGTTCAGCCACTGCTGTGAGTTTTCCTGAGACATGGGCATGAGTACATAGTGCGTTTTAAGTGGATGACTTCTGTCTCCTTGGAGAGCTTTTGTGTGCTCGGCTTGCTTTCACTCTGCCTGTATATCAGTTTGCACTTTGTTCCTACTTGGAACAAGTGCCCTAATTTTGCTTTATTGCATAAATGATTATAAATAAGGGAAAGGTTGGTCAGAGGGTAAATGTGATGCATCTGGAAGGGAAGCTGCTGGCCTAACTATCCCAAACTTGTCGTCTCTCTTGGCTATAGCACCTGAAAGGAGAAAAAACAGGAGTTTAATTTTGCCTGTTCCTGTTTTTTCAGAGCACTGTTACTGCCCATAGCGAGCAGGACCTGCACCGAGAGGAAGAGGGCTCTCTGCAAGGTAAGCTGTGCTTTTTAAAGGCGCTCTCCTTGTTGCTTTAGTTTCCAAGTCAAGGAGCCAGAGACACCCCTCTTTGCTTAAAGGAGAAGGTGAATTTGGGGTTTTCCCTTTGGACTGACCGGGTGCTGACAGAGATAAGATGATCCAAAAACTTATGTAAAATTTAGAAAGAAGTGGAGGGTGAGGGAAGAGGGTCTGTGTTTTTCCCATCTTTTGTCCTGGATACAACCTTCCTTTTGTTACAAGTCAAAAATGTTGATGTTTATTTTCTGTGATTATTTTTTCCCCATTTCAGGGACATAGCAAAAGGCAAAAGTGCTCTTGGGTAGGTTACAGTGCAGTGCAACCCTGCTTTCAAATAGAAAGTATATTTGTTGCACAACATCTTTGCTTTATGAACAGCCTGCACACAGAAGGAAGATCTTTCTACAAAATATTATTTAAATGAATCATAGTATGTTTTTGAGACGTAAATGATATTTAGTTTTATTAAGGAGGTGTCTAGGTGTGTGTGTCAGTATTCCTCAAATTTCAATTATTTTTTTTTTCCCCTGGAGAAAGAGGGAAAAACTAGTCATTGGTTTTCCCTACAGCTTCAGAGTTGCTGTGAACTTTCCATCTTGGTCATAGATAATGAGTGTTTTTAATATGATCCAGTATTACAGCAGCAGATTGGGATAGGATATCAGCAGTATCTGTGGTGACTTAGTTTCTACTTCACAGCATAATATATTAGGATGGCTCTCAAATGAAAGAGGAGTAGGTCTGTCTATATTTATGCTGAGAAATTTGGTGGTAATGTTGTGGGGAGAGAGATGGGTGGGGGGAGACCAGGCATGGGAAATGTTTCATTTTATGGATAGGTTTGGCAGAAGAGTTAGTGTTGAGGATAATGGGCGAGACATAAGTTGGTTAACATCAGGAATTAAAGGATATGTGTGTGTGACAGGGTTTAATCTCCTAATGAGAAAAACATATCCCTGCTCTCCGAGGCTGGGAGAGTTTAGCGATGAACAGGGCATTGTGTGAAAGATTGCACTTGCAAACTGTGTGCAAACTGTATGCAAACTGTCCTTGAGCATGAAATACCGTTAGGAGGTTTTGTATGAAGGACACTAGGGAGCTGAGATGGAGGCCTGTGTGTTATAACAGGAGCAAGACCCCTCCAAGGCAGGAGTGAGGGCTTGGATGGTCCAGTGTGGTCTCGGGATGGGGCTGACTTGATCTCAGATTCGGGCTAGCAGCCAGACAGCTCTGCCAGCTTTTTTGCTTCATTTTCCCCGTGACCTTTCCTAGGCCCATGATTAGCAGGTGCCTGTGCACAGCAGTAACGAGCCCGGGGCAGGGCTCCAGCCCTTGGATTCTAGGTCAGTCATTGTGTGCTGGGGATTTGGGATTCAGGACAGGGGAGGGGAGGGTGCTGGCATTGGATCCATCGTTACTAAAAGCAATGTACAGCCTTTATTTAAGCAGCTGAAACGGTGTGTGCCCGTGTAACGCAGGAGAGAGCCTGTATTTGGCATATTTGCAAAGTGCTATAGAAACGACGTAGTGACCTGTCACCTGTGGCTTCGCTCCACGCTTGTTAGGAGGCTCTTGCTGGTTTGAGAAGTGCACTTCCGACAGGATAAGATTGCAATAATTAGGTGCATTAAGGATCCTAAGGAAATAATCCAGTTTTAAAACGGAAAGACATTCACTGTGCTCCTGAGCAGTGTCTTCTGCGTCTTGCACTTCCTCTCCTCCTGGCAGCAGAGGTTTCACTCAGCGCTGACTTGTCCCCAGCTCCTGCATTTAACCTCCGATCCTTTACTAAATGTGCACAGGTGAGGGCGGGCCTGGAGGAGCACCATGGACCTCGACGTGCTGAACATGTTTGTAATAGCCGGAGGCACCCTGGCCATCCCCATCCTGGCCTTCGTGGCCTCCTTTCTCCTGTGGCCCTCAGCGCTGATCAGGATCTACTACTGGTAAGTTAATTAGGGCGAGCGCTGTAATTTTCACTCCGGGGTGCAGTTCCTGTCGGTCCACCTAGGAGCGGAGAGTGGCTAGAGCTAATGGGCTGCTGAGCAGGTGGGTGGCTCGCCGAGGAGGCCGTCCCTCGTCCCGCTGCTCGTTTCGGTGCCGGGGCCCCTCCGAGCCGCAGCGTGTGCGTGGAGCGCTCCGCGGGGAGCCCCTCTCCCCGGCCCTGCATCGTGAGCAGGGGGCTT